CCCCAAAACCCCAAAACCCCAAAACCCCAAAACCCCAATTACCAAAGAATGATTTGAAAATAACTAATTTGTATTAAAAATATTAATAAAAAACTCAATGGGAAATCACCTCGATTGATGAAGCAAGCGCTTTGAAGACCAGGAAGATGATAACGATGCTCAAATCAGAAGATCATGTAGCAGTATTATGCCTAAATCGAGGCAGAGTTATAAGTCTCCACATGATTACCAAGAGTTGGCACCCAAACATTTGAGGAATAAGAAATCTGTCTGCCAACAATACACTAATTTGCTAAACCAAGGTAATGGAAAGGCATTATTTGGCATTTTGAGGGAAGTAGAGCCGGAAATTTAGTAGAAGAAGTTTTATGTTTCACACTTAGTTTAAACATCAGAAATTTTACTTCTTCATATTTTTCTGATAATAAATTGTTCATTCTAGTATGAAATTACCGTTTAAAGAGTTGAATTAACTTCTTGTGAAATAGATCTGCTTGAAACGCCTCAAAAGTCCCCTGGGACAGAGTATGAAGCCAGAAAGGAAGAAGGTAAGACTCTCATTAAGCTCAGCTCAATACTAATTTATAGAAAACTTGTCTGCTGAGGACCCAAAGAATCTCACACTTGAAGATAGGTTCCAAAAATGACTTCAAAAATCAATTGCAAAAAGCAGGAAATCAAACGTCCCAAAACGTAGGAAAAATGCAAAGGCTAAAAGGATGTTCTCTATCCTTGAGAAATATAGGAACAAGTCCACTAACCAGAATATTTTAAGTGATCTGAAGTTCTCTGATGAGGAGGAATCACAAGAAGAAAACCCGTTTAAGGCTCATAATACATCCATCGAGCACAGCTTATTTAGCAACCTAGACGTTTCATGTATTATTGAGAAAGGCAAAGATGTGCTTAATGATTCTGATATTGATATTCCACAACAGATAGAGCGGACTATTTCAAAGTCTCTTAGCAAAGATTGTAGCAGTTATGCCAACTATCCTGTAAATGAGCAGATCGGGGATGATAGCCAAGATAATATGATATTCTCCCTCGCCCAAGAAGCTGAGATTGAGAGAATAAATTCCACAGAGTTACAAAAACCTGATTTTGAAACTGTAGAAGACGGTTGAAGGCCTGACAATACTCCGACCAGAAATTTAGGCTAAACTCTTTGGCCCAATACATCTCTCTCACTTAAGGACTTTGTGGGTCTATAATGGTCCATTTGGTCCTTAAAACTCCATTTTCTCTGTAATTATCTGATCTCAGATGAATACCTATTCTTAATCTTAAATTCGCATTCAATAATCTCTTTCCAAGAGGGGTTTTGGGGTTTTGGGGTTTTGGGGTTTTGGGGTTTTGGGGTTTTGGGG